TTTTTTGTTACGAATTGTTTCTTTTTTGTTACGAATTGCTTTATAATATGTGAGCTTTTATTTCTCTAATCAAATAAGATATATAAATTAGTCTTTTCTTCTTTCTTTCCTTTACCATTTTCTGTACATGTTCTTTTTGTGCCTTGTATCAACACTGTCATTTGCATATATTATGTTGTTAACATTGTGACCGCTCTTAATGGATCCAGGTAGGTCTTCTATCTCAGAATTGTCTCTAACTGTTGAATATTCCGTGAGAAGAAACATCCTTGTCTTATGCCTTTTTCTATTTTTGTATATTTACTGTAATCATATTCTATCCGGATGCAGTCTCTTTGGTCCCATTATAAATAATAGATTTTTATCTAATATTATATTTCACAAGTAGATAAAGAAATAAAGCTTCTTTATCACTTCAAACAGTTAATTTCCTCATAACTTATAAAACGTTTTCTCCTAATCAATAGATATGGATATACGCCTTTCTGAATTGTATTCTTTCTGATATTGTTGAAACTTGTCTAAGGCATGGAATAATAATGCAACACAAAATGTACTAAGAACAAAATGTATTGAAACAAGAAAATGTACAAAATATTTACATATAGTCTTTTGTATATTCCTGGTAAGACCGTTCCTGGAGAATGTGTTGACTGAGTCGCAGTCGGGCAGAGTCTCTGGTTGAATCTCTTGATTTATCTATTTATCTATCCACCCATGATTTTATCTATCCACCCACGAGGATAAAATGTGGCACAAGGCCGGTTTAAAGTGGGTATCTCCGAGCCCGTAGGCTCGGCCAAAAATATGGCCTTTCTGAACCCGCCTTGACAGGTTCAAGGCCTGCCTACCACCCCGGACGAAACCCTGCCTCTCGGCAAAGCCTCGTTCGGGTCCCTCGCTGCAAAATGCAGAGAGTTCGACGGAGAGTGAATCTCTTGATTCCTCCCTCTCTTCCCGGTACCAACCATATTTATATGGTCGGTACTCCACTATGCAAATTAGGTGGATCCTACCACAACAAATATCATTCTGAGCGATTAGAATTAAGAAACATTAATATGACGTCAGGCGGTGACGGTTAAATGAGATATAAGTACTTATGGAATCAGGGTAAATATGAAATCTAATACTTGATCAAAAAAATAAAATATTGTTCCAACATTAGTGATTGCGGTTAAGGATATTATTCATTTAAAGAGAGAATACGAGATGTTACATTTAACAATTATTAACCACTTCCGCGTCAATTATTTTGGGAAAAACGTTTAATTTTCTGACGAATTTATATTTGTTCTTTTTAATATAGTAAATAAGAAACTGAGGTACCTTGAAGTACCCGAGCATTGGCTAACAGCTCGACCAAACATATGAGTTGACAATTCGACACGTTTCAAGCTCAGACATACAAATCAAGATCGACGTATAAGTACATCTGGAGCTGCTTTTTGAACGTTATGTTTTGGACGTATTTATTCGTCTGCGACTGAAAGCGAGTATTTCGGTAAAAACGTCTATATACGTATTCGCCGCCGGGCAAGAGGTTAAACTTGATATTTCGATATGGAGATTTTCGGGAGACATAATTTAGAAAGATTTGGGAGAATTTTTCACTCTGACAATCTGAACGCAACTAACTGAATGTGTTTGTGTGAATAGTGGCAGAACAGGGATATAGTGATATACTGAAACTATCAAGTTACTTAGAGATACAAAGAGTTATGATCGGTTACTTCTTAAGGAAAAAGGAGACGCCATGTCTTCATAAAGAACGCTTTCCGGTTAATTCAGCTACTTTTTTTTTTGTTGGAAGTCAATGGCGCAGTCTGATCACAAGAGAGATTTGAAGATTTTATCTTACAGATCTGTTTTCTGCGTCAAGAGTGAACCTATAAATATATATTTGTGAAGCTATCAAATTTTTACGCGTGGCAGCGTGGAACTGTCGAAAGCAGATGTAGTGTCCTGAATCAAGTGGCAAAACATATTAGCCTTATCATAGAACTTCCTTTTAACGGCATCCAAAAGAAAATCAAATTGGATATTTCGACATAATGTAATGGTTAGCAAGCGTGTCTCGATAGATTAATTATGACTGAATAGTCAGCTCGATCCTCCCTGGAAGCCAATACTTTCGACCTTGTGTCACATCTAAGCTACGCTTAGAAAAATAAAAAATAAAATCGAATTAAATGCGTATCAGAATGTATAAAGTTCAAATATTTTTTCTTTTCAACTAGGCTTACGGCCACATCACATTGAAACTTTAGTTCCCGTATGATCACTAAAGCTAAGCAACGTCATTATCTAGCTGGGTGACCGGTTGGGAATACCAGATACTATAATCCTGGATGTGCGGTTGGTATAATGGCTCGGAATTATTTATCGGAGGGCCGTGTTCCAATTCCCGTTGGGTTTGTTATATTTTCTTACACTCAGATACCACCTGGGAAAGGTTTTAATCCACCTCTTCTCCACCCGAGCTATGACTAATTAGTAAGATTTGTATCACTAAATCATTATTATCCCTCACCCCACAAAAAGTTCTTACAATATAAAAGATATATATTCTGGCTTTAAATAACCTACAATAGTTTGATAAACCGTAGAAACTACGAAGAACGGTTTGCCGACAATGGGACCGAAAAATGAAGAAAGCGGCTTCGGCTACGGGTAGATGTCGACTTCAAAGTTTGAGATCTTACTAAGGTGGCGGGGATAAGTATTGTGATGAACTGGGATGTGAGAGTATGCGGTAAAGTGGTGGGCGTATGGCGAGTTTCAAATAGTGTCAAGTGGACCGTCAAGACATGCATTGACATTTGGAAGTACATGTGGAGCCATAGTTCAAGAAAAATACTAAACAATTTTATGAAAATGACTTTTATGCACGAAAATGCTCTCTCACATTCGCTGAAGGAAATTAATAAAATATGTTTAAAAAAAAGTTGTTCAATAAAGTGAACTGCTTGCTCGCTCGACCATAACACGTCAAAACCATCTGCGACATTGTAAAGAAGAATGTTTATATAAGCAGACAACAATATCTAAGCATAGACGAACTTAAACACTTCAAACACCTCGGTGTATGGATTATTTATAACTAGTTTATTATAGGAAATAAAACAGAATAATTTGTGTTCGTGGTAGTTTCATCCAACACCACAAATTGCTAAAAAAATTACATCAGCCTAAAAACTAAAGTCGTACTCTTAAATAACCTTGTAAGATCGAGTTTTTCATATTGATAGCATGCATTAGAAATATCTGAACTGTCAACTGTATGCAACCGCTTTCGAAGGTCAATGGTTTCAAATGGGTTCGAGCGAACGAAAGCTATAGCACTTACCGAGAACTATTTTACTTCAAACACGTAGTCTTGCAATACAGAATCACAACGAAATATCAAATAACAGAAAACAAATCACTTGAGTAATTTCAACAACAGAAAAAAAACTAAAATAGATTGCACATGTAACTCGAAGAGAAACTAATGACGTAATGAAGATGGTGATGTTCTACACAACTTAAAAGAAAAAGTTAAACATGAAGCTCCCATCAATACTGAAAAGAGCGATAACAGCTACTGCACTTCTGAAAATAGTGTTAATAAAGGTTGCTTTAATTGCAATTGTTCAGATGAGCTCTTCGCTATGGTACCTAGACTTTTTGAATTTAAATGCAGTACTGGACTGACGTCGAGATCTCATTAATGTACAGTTAAGTTGATTAGATTCTATGCTAACAGTTTCATCTATCTCACTTATCGATCGTGTTGTCTACCAATTGCCTACCACTTCACAGGTTACTAAGCACAGTTCCTGGGCTGTCATATGACTCTTAATGGCCAGTGATTTAAAGCCAGTCTGCGCAGAGAAGTGTTTCGGGTGTAGACACATTTCGACGAATCGATGCTTTTCTACCACATGGGTAAAACACAGCCGCTTGCGTATTGGATCTGTTAGCAAGGACGACTTTTATAACGTCCACAAGCTATCCCTTTCATAATCAGAGAGATCTCTTTTTAGAAAATGAAGTCTGCATTCATTTTCCGTGACCATCTTCATTTCTTTAACTTTAATATTTTCGTAAATATCTGTACCAATGGCAGACATTACCGAGTACGCCCACATCTATATGATAGACCCAACAAGGTCAAATGCTTATAATGGCTATATTCGATTGGAGTATACGCGAACTGAGTAGAAATACGCTTCTTGTTCTGAATGGTTTCTCGCTACATGAAGCTAGACTCGATACATAAATCATGCAAAAAAGATTTTTCACGGACTGCAGGTGACCTTCGTGACAAATTTAATAAAGTGCTTTGATGGAAGAAAATGGATTAAAAACCTTTTCCCGTTTCAAATATTTGAGTTAAATCGTTGGAAGTAAATGAAGAATGGTATTTATCAATAATAGAATTCGTGGGCCATTTCGCCTTTCTCGTTTCTGGATAAATAGGAAATAAAAATGACGTCCATTTGACAACTAATGTGATTTGAAGTGAAATGTTTTTTAAAGATCAGTTTAATGTATTGTCCATCATATTCATTCAGTCGTTCATTTGCTTTAATATAAACATTTCAAAAGATCAATAAGATTTACAATTACGCCTTGACTAGCATGTGAAATGCGCATGAAAATCAATATCAAAATATTTCTCTTTTTAATTATATATAAATATATATATGTGTGTGTGTGCGTGTGTGTGTCCGTGTGTGAGGGTGTCTATGTGTTTGTGTGTTTCCTTATATTTATATTTTATTGTATGATTATATATGAAATGTGAGGTGAATAAAAAAAACATTATCACAAATTATAATGCTTCCTTTTGCTCTTTCTAGATGATTATATATATATATATATATATATATATATATATATGGAGAGTGAGAGAAAGATATAGAGATAGAGGGAGGGAGGGAGTGGGACAGAGAGAAATAGAGATAGATAGTGATCATAAGGATCATAAGATACATCACGTTAATGACATTTACAAATAGATAGATAGATAGATAGATAGATAGATAGATAGATAGATAGATAGATAGAAATGTACCATCTGGGATACGATATGAACAGACTGAGCTCATAATGATCATGTCATACATAGGGAAGTAGATAGAACGTAATAATGACACACACGCACACACACACACACATATATATATATATAAACAGACAGATAGATAGATAGATAGATAGATAGATAGATAGATAGATAGATAGATAGATAGAAATGAACAGACTGAAGTAGATAGATTATAGATAGATATGAAGAGACAGATATAGGCAGATATATATGATTAGACTGAGATAGATACATAGATACATATTTAGATATGTATGAACATAGATAGATAGATAGATAGATAGATAGATAGATAGATAGATAGATAGATAATGAACAGGCTGAGGTAGATAGATACATTGTTAGGAACAGACTGAGTTACTAAGACGAAAGAACAGCTTTTTCAAATCATTTCACGCTAAGCAAGGCAATTAAGCCACTAACACGGAAGGGGGTGGTGATTTAATGAGTGTGAAAGAATATGAGAAATTTTCAAACATTAAGAGAGAACATTAAAAGGAACTGGAATTAAGTAGACTGAATTAAGTAGATTATAAACTCACTGTCTCTGATATTGAACTCACTTCCCCTGTGAATATAGCATATCTTTAATAGCTCTCTATCTCTTTCTCACACATACACGTGCACACATGTTCAATACAAGAACATTAACCCAAGTGCTTGTGAATAATCTTAGAAATGCAAACATTTCAGTTGAAAATCAATACTAGATATAAACATAATCGATATGGAGGTGTCTATATGAACCAGAAAACAGTACAAGCAAGGAGATTAAGCGACAAAACTAAAGTGGGCGAGACACATAGCAAAAAGAAAAGATAACAGATGGAGCAAATGGTTGCTTGATGTCTGTAGACATGAATATGGAGACATGATTCGAAGGATTTTCTGGTAAATACATGGTAAGTGGATAGTAAAGTTCCGATAGTCATGTATGGAGGTGAAAATTGTTTGTGAAGCTGCAATGAACTGGAAATGACTATTGATGATAATGGTGATGATATACTTGTCAAAAACGTATAGCTTTGTAGCATACGCACACATACAAATATATATAACCATTTAATTATTAAATATGACGTCATTTTCCTCTGGTTCCTATTGCAATTCATGCGATGTAAAAACAGCAGGATTTAGTCAGGAAATAGGGCTTGCTATGCTGACAAGAACCAATTCTTGATAATGGCTGAGAGTGTCGCATCTACCGATTCACCAAAGTCTTTTTGTTACAGATTTCTATGTAACAGTATTTCTTAATTCTAACAAAACTTTCTATGTTTCAAAAATTACATTATATATCTTACTTATTATAAAACGCAGATTGTGTGTGTGTGTGTCTGTTCGTTTATATATGGGATCGTATTTCCTACATTTTTCAACCGATTTCAACAAAACTTCACAGGACTACGTAAAATTACCTTGCGGTGGTTCTGACAGCGCCCAAAATTGGAAAAACCCAATTGTTTTTGCACGAAATCAATTTGAAAATACAATTAAGAGGCATCACTGTCGCCAGAATGAAAGGGTGCAACTCATATCGACTTATACTTATTATAAAACCCAGGTTGTTTGTGTGTTTCTGTGTTCGTTTATATATGGGATCGGATTTCCTACATTTTTCAACCAATTTCAACAAAACTTCACTTTTTTTTGGCAGGTAGTGTTTCTTATTGTCTTATACAGTTTTTTCTTTATTCTTACATTCAGAATGCTTTAAAAACTCCATTTACAAGACAATGTTTATAATAAAATTCTATTTAATCGGTAGACTCATAAGGATTGAAAACAATGTTTTTGTTTGAGTCTGGGTTTGACCAATTCGTAAAAAAAAACAAAAAAAACAAAAAAAACAAAAAACTAATTAAGACATGCGTGTCCGTCAACCTTAAACAATAATCTTTGTCAATTTTATTTTTCAGTCTTTATGATGGTCGATCTCTTACTGTTATATCCCCGGGCAACGCCGGGCTCTACTGCTAGTAATATAAAAAAAAAACATGACGAACAGTAGAATACTAGTAGGAAACTTTGTTTTAAGAAAACTGAAATAAATAATAAAGGAGGTTACACAGAATAATGAAAACATAACAATTATGTTGCCATATTGTGTAAACTAGCTGGGAAAAGTTTTAAGAAAAAATATTACATAGAATTAAGAAATCCTAAATTTCCCTATTTAGCTGTTAGCGTGGTTCTGATGGTCTGTTAAGAAATTATAAGCTCATTCACCCGATTGACAGTTCTTATTTTTCATTCTACGGGGTAACATGCCACTCTCTCTCCACCAAAAGAAATAGACTTTGAATGAAACGCACTGAGAAAAAGAAATAAATATGACTGCCGATAAAGAAGCGGGAGAAAAATCAAGTTGTGGAAAATTCTATTTTCATTCGAAATTCAAAAACTGTTTGAAATCACTACTTGATATCAATGTACACTCAAATAGACACTACAATATTTAAGTGGCTCAAGTTGCGAATAGAAAATTAAATTTATATGTTTAATTAATGATACTTTACCAATGCTTTACCAACATTTATCCATTTTTGGCATAGATAAAGAATTTTGTCTATATCACTGAAATGAGGTATTATGATTACTTGCATTATTTACATTATTCGGATTGTTATCCTCATCTTCATTGCCATATTCCCTCAAAGACACATGGCCCAGTGGATAAAGACGTTGGTTAGATCCAGTGAATAGACCCAAATAGTTGTGAGTTCAATACCAAGCTTGGAGGGTTTAGTTAAACGAGAAATAACTGAGACATCTGGAAGAAGTATGGCACGTGGAACTAGAACAATCTACGTCAATGGACGAAATAAATTGTTCGAGTCGAAATTCCAATCATATGAAGAAGGCCGGGGCGTACAACGGCCGAAATGTTGTGAATATTGCAATGAAGATGAGGATAACTGTCTGAATAATGTAAATAATGCAAGATAAAGACTTATGCAATGTAAATGACAATTCGAAATTCAGTTAATAACTGTAGATACCTTTGAAACTATTGATATAACGATGTATTTATTATACAATGCAACAATAGGCAATGAAAAAAAAAAACCCTTTTCATCACCATTCAACGCGAAAAATTAAAATATCGAATTAATTTTTTTATTATCGCCATTGTCATAGGAAGCCTATGTAGAATATTGAGACGATGTTGAGAAAGTCTTTGATAATGTTGATTATCTGAGTAATTTTTAAGCCTAGAACTTAGAACAATATGCAAAAAAAACATCAAGTGGGTTTAATATCGTTTAACGAGAAGCAAACGAATAGATATTTACAACAGACAGGCCTTATTGATTGACCAAATTCTGACATTGAGACAAACATTAATGGCCTTTATTTGATATGAGAATTTTTGCTTACCCGCAAGCGTTTGCGATAAAAGACATTGCTGAAAGCGCGTTTCGTGGAAAGCCTCTAATCTCCCAGGCGCCTGTTTTCCATTCATTTTAATCCGGTGAGTACTTTATCATTGAAGTGATGTCATTGCAAACGAAGGTCGACATAATGTCACGGAATTTACAATACTTACATTTAGTGGAAACTTCTAGTGTTGCTCTTAGGTCGGTTAAAGTTAAAACGATGATAATAAAGATTCAAGAAAGAAGCAAAGAACAAAGCAGGTGAAGGTCAAAGAAGAACGTATTTAAAACAATCTGTTATATTCTAAATAATATATGTGAGGTGAAGAGTCAGAAATATTGTTCCGCAAAACATTCCTTTTCGACAGTGAATTGTAGTCTTTGTGTATGACGATAAACTACATCCGGCAGCAAGACATTTAATCGGGAGATAGAAGGTTTTGAGCAGCGTGGAATAACCCTTTTAATTGCTATTGTTTCCATGTCCATCATGGCCCGTGTTGGTAGCCGATGTCAGTGTCCCAGCTATGGGCAAAAAGTGAATCGCCAAACAAAGACAATACAATGAAAGTATGAAAAATACATTTTTATAGTAAAAAATACCAACAATACCTTTGTAAACGTGCACACACCCAGTTGGTCGTCTAAGACTTCCAACACCGAGGTTGGTCGCTGAAGTGACCGCTTCAATCCAGAGCTATGATTTTTAGATCATAAGGTAGCCAAGATCGAATCGTTGCAGGTATTTTCGTGTTGGAATGGCCCAAGCAGGGCAAAAATAACACTCGAAAAATTGAATATAATATATTATAAGTGTATCCGTACAATAATTGGTTTATATCAGAGTTTGCATAAAATTACTTATCAACCGAGCCCGCGTCTAAATCGGAAGTGATACTATCGTCGACCTGGCAAAAATCGACACAAAGTTGGAGTCGGAGCTTCTCTTCGGCAGGCAATAACGTGGCTTCGCTTCTGTCTCGTCTCTGTCTCTTCTGGCGAATTCGCTTTGCGCATTCGTATTTATGGACATTTGCCCAAAACTGGCATGGAGGTATGACGAGGTAGAGACATTTCGGTGAATCCTCTCCGGTTTGCGACATAACTTTGGGGGAATTTCTTCTTCATCAAACTTTTCAGTCAACGTGGGTGGCCTATTCACTCCCCTCCTGACTTGAATCAACTTCAAATCCGTTGTTTTTTTTCGTTATGCAACTGTGCGTCAATCAAACATTGCCCATCAAGTCTGGGTCACTTTTTCTATTGTCTAAAAGGCTCAACTTACAATTCAAGCCGTTTATATGTGAATTTAATCTTTTAATTTTTCCCAAGGTTTTTAGTATTAACTCTTCTTATCTCCATGTCTCTCAGCACACAACACTTTCTTATATTTTAACAACTTGCTTCATTTTACTACGGTAACGACAAGTAGTATCAGACATTGTTATATTACAAAATTACCAACAATACATATTTATGGTAAAATGACTACCAATGTATATTCATAGCAAAATGACCAAAAATACATTATTTGAAGTTGAAGGCATACAATGGGAGGTTAGCATGAAACAGGACAAAAGGCGGAAAAGTATTCGAGTAATCCAATCTACTAGTCCTTGTTGTAGACAACCGTCCAGGCACAATTGGGTTTTCTTTCCAGCAACCCCAAAGATGAGGTTGATGGTGCAACTAGGGCAAGAAAAAATCTTGCGGCCTCAGCCGAGATTGAACTCAACAATATTGGTGTAGTTCATAATCTTGTCAAATAGCTGAATTCTTGATGCTTCGCTAGGGCTATCAAGGGTGTTTTTATCGTGACACCAACACTACATGGATTGCCAACCAAGGCTCAGAGAGACTCCATTCACCCTCCTCTAAGAGCAGGTTTGAATTCAGAGTTTTCCTTCTTCTAGACCAGTTGCTATCCAAGGCTATAGAACCCAGTCTGTCCTGCTATTT